AAGGACAAAAACCATCACTATTATGCCAAAGAATGATGCATCAAAGAAAATATAGTTACAATCACAGAACAATCAAACAAGCACAAACCTTAAGCTAGGTTTAAAGAGTTTTACAATTCTATTTTTACAAAAAGACAGTTGAAAAATTGCAAACACTAGGCCCTCTTTTTTTCTAATTATTTCTGCTCCATTTAACATAAAACAATTAGGAGAAAAAATATTTTCAAACTGCTATTAAAATTTGATGCAATGCATTTATTTGAGAATATGGAAAAGGGACAAGATGAATCCTCCAGATTACCTTGTATCGTTACTAGTTCTGCTTTCACATTTTAATCTTTAAAATTACAGCTTCCTTTCTCTAGAATTAACACCTGTTTTCTTCCCTTTCTAACTCTTGCTTATTTTTCACATTATATCAGCCTAGATCTCCTCCCTTCAGGCCTTGCCTAAGTCCTCAACTGTCCCCTGGGTTGGCCTCCCACCTGCTCCATATCACTTTGAATGCGGCCATCTCTGGACACCTAGCCCAATCCCTCCACAAGACTGTAAGCTCCAGAGAACCAACAGGGACACATTTTGTCAACTGCATCCTTTTCTGAAACACTGGGACATTCAAGAGAATAGATGTATCTCCTCACACACCATGTGCCCTCTCACCCCTGCACTTACTGCTTGCTAGCTCTCTCACATACATGCACACACACAATTAAATGTTCACACAGGCCATAGACTCAGACACTTTCACACTCCCTCACAGAGTATAAAGATGCTATAACTATGCATAATCACCAAACGTCTGTCAAAACAGAGGCCTGACTGAAGAGGTGGGACCTGAAGCCAACAACTCTGTCAGCTTATTGCTATTCCTTCAACTTCCTCCAAAATGAATGAATATGACTATACTCTTCCTGCAGGCTATAATCCAGGCATATGAAAGATTTGGAGAATTATCAAATATATGACAATATAATATGGAGAATTATCAAATATGTGACAAAAGTAAAGCCAGCTGAAAGACTGAGTCTTGAGTTTTCACTGAAAGCACATTACTAAGAATACACACTCCAGCAAATCCACAGCCCAAAAATAGCACTTGTATTTACCAACTGGTCTTCTCAGTTTACACTCTTACTAGCAGTATAAAATAAAATATCTGAAATCAAATATTAACATTACTAAAGGACAGGTGGCTTAGTTGAACACAATGCTTAACGTAGCTATAAAGATACAAACAACTTATTCAACTTTTAATGGCCTTTTCCAATGCTAAACTCTCAAACTGCCTTTGCTATACTAACTGTATCATAAATCAGCTAAAGAATGAACATTTCTCGAGGCTATGGTGAGCTATGATTACACCACTGCACTCCAGCCTGGGTAACAGAGTAAGACCTCGTAAATAAAAAAAGAAAAAGTTAAATTCCAGGCATATTGACATTTTACTTGCAGTGTTTATGTAACTAATTAAATGTTCTATTACCTTCTGCCATTAGAATTTCATTTTTAAAATTAGAAGATATTAGAAAATTAGCCAACTGGAGATCACTGATTTGCTTATGTGTTTAATTATGAAAAAAATAGAGATGTAATAAATCTTATAACTATCCATTATGCCTAAAAGGCAAAATGGTACGTTGTCTTTCTTACGGTAAGTCTTACAAACTCTCACATTCAGTCATTAAAGGTGATTTAGAAAGCACATACAAAATCCAGGCTTATCTATATGGGTAAATGTAAAAAGTCTGCTTATATTTTAAAATATAGAAACAGAAGTAGTTACTAAAAATTGATGCTCTGGAACCTCAATTTTTCAGCCTTCTTCAGCCAACACGTTTGTTTTCATAAGTGTCATTTAACTCCAAGAGAAAATGTATCTGGAAGTAGAGTTCTAAAAATCGAAAGGAATGTCCATTGGGGAAAAAAAAAACACTCTCATAACTATGCACTTTTCATACACCCTAGTGCTATGGTTTGAATATCCCTCCAAAACTCATGTTGGAATTTAACTGTCATTGTTGTCATTGTAATGGTATTAGGAGGTAGAGCCTTGAAGACGTGATTAAGTCATGAGGGCTCTATCCTCATGAAAAGATTCATGTCATTCTCATGGGAAGGGGTTAGTTACATCAGAATCAGGTTACTAATGAAAGAATAAGTTTGGACACATTTATCTCTTGGTCTCATGCGCTTCCTTGAACTTCCAACATGTTAAGAAGCAGCACAAAGGTCCATGTCAGATGCCAGTACCATGCTCTTGGACCTTCTAGCCTCCAGAACCAAAAGGCAAGTAAACTTATTTTCTTTATAAATTACCCAGGCTGTGGTATTCTTTTGTAGCA